TGGCTTCTAATTTATTCATACAATATCACCTTTGAATCAAATATAGAGATCGTGACGAAAAAAAAGGGAAAGATGACAAATTCACAAAGCTCCTGTTTGTCGAAAAAATTATCCTTCTACCACAGGAAATGTAAAGAGAATGGTATGGAGCACATGACCTCTAGCTCTGAGTCTTTTATTCTGTCAATTGACATAATTATTTTTATATCAGTAAACTCTTGCTTTAAAGGTTGTAGTACTTACTAATGAGTAGTAGGTAGAGGAGTTGCTGACACTTTTGTTGGACGTGAAATTCTAGACAAAATCTCTCTTTCTCTTTGCTGTAAATGGAGTCATAAGATTATTAAATTTATTAAACTTATGAATGATTGATGCATGCAAAAGAAAGTCATGATCATGAAGTATTCAAAAATAATTTAGGAATTTCAACAGTGTTGCAAATCAGAGTGTGCCATAACATTGGTTCATTTAGAGGGCTGTATTTTACAGTACTAAAATGCAGCCTAAAAAATTCAAAAATTTGTTTTAATCAGAATCTTCCCCCTTTGAAGCAAGAAATGTATGAAATATTTTACTAACCAGTTGCTTTCTCAGTCTGTTCTGTAAGTTGAGGAACCTTATGTTTTCTGCTTGGATTTATTTCCTGCACACTTTGTGCTAGGGCCATAAATTCCAGCATAAAAAAATTGGTCCATAACTTACTGCATGGACCTCAAACTTGGTTTGTAAGAGGTATGCCTATTCAGTGCTCTACGATTCAATAATGATATCAGTTGAATAAGGATGTGTCATAAGCTAAAACACATGCATCTCACAACTAGAATCATTTTGCCTACAGTTTTTGCCCACTAAACATGTTACATATAGGTACAGTTTATGGGTTAAAAAGGTAATGAAGCATCACAGAGGATTCACTGGACTAGCAACCTTATTTCTGCAACTAAAAAAAAAATTATAAAAATACCTCCATCTTTGCAAGATCCACTCTAAGTTGATCAACCTCACTAGCCTTAGATATTAAGTGTCCATGAAGATCATTCATTTCACTTGACTGTGGAAAAAAATTTTATTAAACTGTTGGCCAACATTGCTGGTCCTGTACTGATACATTTTAGCGTCACAGGGGTTGGTTGGGGGAGAAAAATAAACTTCTGAGTGGCAGGAAGGTCAAAAGGCAGTTAGACCCCAACCACCACCACAAACAGTTCTTCTAGTTCTCAAAATATCACAGGTTTTCAACTAAGTAATTCGCATGACAAAAAATCAGCCCCTGATTTATTAGCAAAACCCCTTTTTAAGATTATCTTACACTGATAATCAGACTACACAATCAGCTGTAACTTCAAGGTTTCAGACAACTTGACCCTCATGAGTGACTACATGTATCAAGTAACTCCTCCTTACAATCAAAATATTACCTCTGAATCAAACAGAGGAGTATTGCGAGTAAACAAAATGATCCCTAACCAAAAAGCTCTTGGTTTTCAGACAAATTCTCTGTGTCAAGAAATGTATAGAGAACATCATGAAAAATATGCATACTGATGTTTGGATGCGAAGAGTTTAAAAAGAATCATGAACCTACAAAAAGTCTGTCAACTTGTCTTCCAACTTGGTTTCTGATCATACTATCAACACCATCCTGTGGCCTGCTACTTTCAGCTCCACCTGGATTGGGTGTTCTTTGAGTATCTGATGACAATAAAAATACAAAATTGCATATGCAGGCTTCTTCAATTTTTAATGCAGTGATTATGAAGCAGAAATCACAGATACTTTTAAAATGACTGTAAAAATCTGCACATTCAAATTCTTGTCAGCACCTCAAGAAGAGCATAGAGACAGTATGGAGAATATGCATACTGATGTTAGGGTGTAAAGGGTTAGGAAAATGCTAACAGAAATGGCTCGCTGGGCTTGGAACAGCCTGAGATAATTATGCCGACTCCAATCCCTTCAACAAAATATCTCTTAAAAATGAAAGCGGTCTTTGCAGTAATGAACTCTAATGAAAAAAATTCTGAACGGGATTTGAACCCATGACCTTTATCAGTGAAGCGCTCTACCAACTAAATGAATGTGGATATATGAAAATCATCTATGTGCAATGCTGATTAAGAAATAGTAATATGACAGCGATCTTCGCTTCTGAACACTATTTACATGTGTAAGTAGTAAAAAGTTACGCAATTAAATAAAACGGAAGAAGAAAACTCCTGATCGCAAATCTTTGAGGCCGTACAGTTAATCTTCTGATGTACCTTGCAAGTAAACGGAGCCCCATCCGTTTCACTTACCATTGCCATTTCTCTGAGCAGGAGCAGCTGACAAAGGCAAATGAGCATTCGTTTCTGTCGTCGTAGATTTCGCTCCGGATTTTGGCGGTCGCATCAAAGGGGAAGGTATGTCTGGAATATCAGGGAGATCGGAGCTAAGCCGATGTAAGTAAACTGTGCAACTATCCTTTCCGGCTTGACAATCCTTTTTCTCCTCATCGTCAGAACAGGACTCTGCTGTCTCTGCTGCCGAGGTGAATGGATCAGGTGAGGTTGGAGACGGTAAATCAGCCGTAATCGAAGACGCCATTGCATTTTAGTTCATAAAAAAACGCAAAAAACAGTTGAAATGGCGAGAGCTTGGGCAGCGTGTCCAATAATGTCCACTGAATTTTACAACCTACACCTGGAAAACTCTTCTTACAAACTTATTGTGTTATTCAAACACTCCGTCCGCCATTTTGTAACCGTCACTTTTGAATAGCGATGAGAGACTGGTAACCACAACACTGTAACTATGTTCCAGGTCTCCAGACGTCTCGTTCCCAGTGACGGAAAATTTTGAACAGTATGGCGGAAGCTTAGAAACCAGGCTCAACTCAGTAGCCAAGCCTTCTGAATTTGTGCCCAAGCCTTTTCTTGCTTGCGTGACCTTTTTCGTCAGTAAACACAAGCTCAAATTTTTAAAGCAGTAAAGAGAAAAACGTTTT